AAATGTATCTGTTCAGATCATGATTCATTTCTGCATTTTGTAAAGCAGCTGTAGTAGAAGCTGTTTAAAATCAGCAGCACGTTACCTTTGCCATTATTAAACAATCACATACTAAAAAAACTTTGAAAGTGACTTTCGCTCACTTTATCTTGTTCTGTGTCGTTCCCAACGTGTTACTCTAACAGCGTATTTAAATGCGTCTTGCAATTATATACTCCACAACCTGTTTTGCTACATGTAAAACTTTTATTGTGTAATCAGCTGTAATGCACCTCAGATGGACCGTTCACGGTATAGAAAATGACAAGTAGAACGACATTATTGATATAACACACCTAGAAACATTATCCATTGCTATTTATTTGGTGAAATCGATGTGTTCGCCAGTTGACGTAATAGAAGCGCTTTGGGATCAAATTGTCATTTTCGGTTTTTTTTTTTTTTGTTTTTTTTTTATTATTATTATTAGAACAGCCAACAGTGAAATGATAAACAATGTGTTGCCAGAAGACAGGACAACCAAACTTTATTTTGATATTGCAGTCGTCAGACGATTCCACGAACGAGAAGCGTTGTATCTTATTATCGCAGCATAAGATTGTCGCTGTCGACACATGTGCCCCTTCAATTCTGATATGTCCTCAGATTAATGTTAGTGAAAAAACCTGCTCCAGGAAATTGGTGCGACCCCCCCCTCCCCTGCTGTACTCTCCCCCCTGCCCTCACCCCTCCCCCTCCCCTCACATCCCTCACACCCCCNACTTGTTCTTATTGTCCTGAAAAGCCCCCTGGGCAATACCACATTACTGGCAGTAACTTTCCTACCAATTTCATGCAGTCTGTTCATTGAGTATCTCATCTTGAGTTGTTGTCACGGTAGTGCTGAAATATCCAGGTGGTCCTTGCTATATATTTGTATGCAACAATCTCAGAAAGGCTTGGAAAAATTCTCCAAGTGACTAAAATGTCCATAAAGTGTCCAAAAGAGTCCTGGTGTATTCATAAACGTATTCTGTGAAAGATTTCCTTCTAAAAACCCACACTTTCAATAAAAAGCAGTAAAGTTTGTCAGAGATCATTAGCAGGGCTGCTGCAAGCGCACCTTGACCTTGACCCCCCTCCCCCTACAGTAAGCTATTACTCCTGTCTTGCGGTCCCCTATTTTTTAGTTGGGATTTCTGTTGTCTGGAATCAGTTCCGACCACAGGGACAGGGGAGATCGTATGATGAGATGGTTGCATGCACTTGTCATATAATACTGAAATAGCGTGATATAGCTATGATTAGGTGCTCAAATTAGAAAGGCATGTATTGTATTTCAGTGAGTCATGCCTCTACCAGCTTTCTCTTTTGTTCATGATGACGAGTGAATACCTCTTTAGAAAACACAAAATTTGATACTTAAGCACAAATATAAGATTAAGTATGTCCCTGTTGTTTGTAACATCGTGAACCAATAGGTAAATGCCAATATATTACCACACGCAAGACCAAATTAATAGGCGTGTGACAGTCAGCACGCCTAAAGCTTTTTTTCCATGCTTTGTTTTCAATTCAACTGAAGCTCCTCCTAGGTATGTCAGGATACTATATGTTATGTTTGTGTCTTGTAACATTTCTTTCTTGATTACGTCTGCAAACAAAAATAATGTGAAATAAAAAGAATACCTAAATGCTGAGTGTCACCTATTACAATACACGTGGACAACAATGCACTCAGTAAACTCATTTCTTCGCTGTGAAAACCCACAGGTTACGTTAAGTCTTCGCCAGAATTTACAAAGACAAATGATTGATTTGAATACGTTTGCAGATAACGCTATAGTCTCCTTAGTAATTTGCGCTTTTTCAATTTAGAATAATCGGATCAAGACTATTTAATAAGGGTTCAGCTTGTGTGTGAAATTAACGGTGGGTTGAATGAAGGGCATAGGCAAGACGCTATGCCTCGGCTACATGTAGTATTTAGTGCTTAAGTAACAGAGCAAAGAAACTACAGTATCAGGTAAGCAATGTTTGTGACCAGTCATAAAGTTAACTAAGGTTTCATGAAACCATGGGATTAGCTAAAACTGCCGCTCTGGTCAACAATAAGGCTTCATATAAAACAGAGCTCCGCAGGTGCGTGCTGCTCACTGGCAATGGCGGCAATTGTTTTACCAAATATTCTCCGCTGCCCTGAATTATATTAGTACTTAGGGTGAACAGGGTGAAAACACTTCTCATAAAGTCATCAAAGTTCACCTAAAACTCGGTTAATTCTAGCATAATAAAAAAAATGTCGGAAGTACAAACCTCCTTGAAGAAATTCTATCATAATATCTTTGAATGTTACTGAAAAAATAAGTTGCAAACTTGCAGCGGTAGTTGATACTTTTTGAACTCTAGATGTCCGATGGCAGCGTTCCTACACAAGCTAATGGTTCACTGTTATTTTGATCTTGCAAACGCCATGTCTTGTAAAATTTTAGGGATTTCCAAGTCCTTTCGTGAAACAGGGGTCTTCGACTTCGACTGAATAGTCTCTGTTATATTACATTGCTCACTGGTTCACCCGGGGTACCACACAGGACAAACATATTCTGTTATATTACATTGCTCACTGGTTCACCCGGGGGTACCACACAGGACAAACATATTCAAGAACAGGGCGAATTCAATACACTTGTACAAGATCTGGTGAGGGCAGTGTGACACGCTTAAGTTATAGGTCTTTTATGGTTATAAGCAACATGTTTAGACCATTTAAGTTTGTTAGTGATAAATACACCCAAAAGTTTGCAATGAGACAATTCACTGACTAAGTATCTCTAACATCAACTGACGGGAAATTTGGCACGGACGGGGTAAAATTTACAGGCATAGATTTTCTGTTATGGAAAGTAAGGTTGCTGTTTCATTAAAGCAGTACACAGACATATCTTAAAAATTGGCCCGCTTTCAATTCTTGTTGCATTTGCACACCCTCAGGAAACACAAGTACAATTGCTGTTTGATTGCAATTTAACGGCAAATCAATGTGAAGCATCTTTTATCGTGCATCAAACGTGGTGACTAGAAATCACTACTGGGCACGGAAGTCAACATAGATGTCGTGCCAGTCACTGTTTCTCGGAGTTTGCTCCCTATTTTCTCAACTTTTTCAAGGTCTTGATTTGTTGGTTTTCTTTTTCAGAGCGGGAATTGACCTATCTTTCGGTTGATCACTTTCCGAACTGAGCACAAAGTGTGACAATGGGTTCGTGTGGTTCGACAACACGCTAAGGTCTTCTTGTGTTCACATTACGAGCTGCTTAATGAGAATATAACCGCACTGGCATTTTATTCGATACAGCGCCTCAGTGGAACAATGCTGCAGTTTTTCATCAGAAAAAATGGCAATTGTTATATGAGCTCAACAAAAAGACAGGTACAATAGGAACCACCAGTGTTTACCTGTCTCTAGATTGCTTTGCTGTAAAGGTCATACAATCTACCAAGCGCTAACATGTGGCATATACCCTGGGGACGGCAAAGAATACAAAAATAGGCGTCAGCAGTTACTCGTTACTAGTACGATGAGGTGTGTTCAAGTAATTTGTAAGGAAGCGTTCGTTAGTCTTGAATAAAGCTCTAGTTACTGTTGTCGAATTCCCCCTGGAAGACTCACTGCAAATAATTATTTCAACTCTACTGATATCTTGTGCCTGTTGTTCAAGGTAATTACTTAGACCAAATATCTCATAACAAACAACCGTCTGTGACACGGTTAGTGTTTTTATCCTTCACATTGTATTTCTTATTGCCTCTAGTCTGTAGCCTGACAGCCCACATATTATATTAATTCACTTTAAAACAATATATTAACCTTTCCAGTGCCGACTCTGTTTACCAATGGTAGAATACATTCGGTCGTGTAGAAGATCAAAGTAAGGGGGAATGACGAAGTCATGCATGAATTTTATTATTAGTATATTTGTTATTATTCGTTTGACTCATAGTTTAAATAGTTAAGGCCATTCATTAAACCATCGTGATGGCAACTTACGAGTTCAAATTTGAATTTTTAATATTATTTCCTCTTACTTAAGGGTTAGATCATTTACATCTTCAGTCATCTTGCCCAAGTTGAGGAGGTGATGAAAAAATATTTTTTGTATATCCGTCTATAGGTCCGTCCGTGTTTCTCTCTGTCTATAGGTCCGTCCATGTTTCTCTCTGTCTGTAGGTCCGTCCGTGTTTCTCTCTGTCTGTAGGTCCGTCCGTCTTTTCAGTTATTCTTCCATTACATTTTAAAAGAAGGGAAATTTTATAAACGTGCAAATAGTACAGATTATCTGTTACTCATTTCTTCAGCGATACAACGAACAGACAGTCGCGTTTGAATAGCTTATGCAACTTGTTACCTTTCATTAAAGCTTTTACCTTGCCTTGTGAAAATTCACAACCCTAGAAAATCCTTTGCTTCTTTGCTAACTCGAGATTGATATATCTGCATTCTGTGTCATTTAGAAGAAGGAATGAGCGTACTGTAATCATACTTTCCTGGCACTGTCAGTAGATCTGCTCCGAGAAAAGATTGAATGGAGACGGTATAGCTGGAGGTCCACACTACATCATGTATTTATCTGTTTTAAGTTTTCCTTATTTTCTGTTAATAAACCTTCCCTATATAACCTCCACATACCCTTACACTGAATACCTCCTAGACGGATGCTAATCCAATCTTCAAGTTAACGGTATCCCAAATCACATCTAGTAATTCGTCGAAAAATAAAAATTCGGTTAACAATTGTTTTTTTTTTCCACACGGCGGTACGTATCACGTGTCAACCAAATTGTTACCATTGAACAGATGTCACAACATGCACCTTAAGTTACAAAAGTTCATCTTTCAACTAATATCACTCTCATAGTCACAGAATTCGATAAAACCAATGCCATTACGATATGTTGCTATTTACGTTACACCCACGAAATACCAGTTTGTAGCCTACCTTCATATACTTTTTTATTTTCAGTCGGCAAAAAGGCGGATTAGACAACAAAGAAGCGCTGAATAAATAAACAGCGACTTATGTGTACCGCACTGTGAACTTAATAAGTACAGGACAGAAAAGAAATATACAAAGTTCCGCTCTCTCAGACAGCATTTGAGGACAAGAGAGCGTGACAGTTATACGGTTTATCTTAGGAGGAGGATTTTGTTTTTTCAGAACACCGTTGCTGCAACGTGACACGCAGCGCTCAGGTTATTTTCCTCCAATCACCATAGCGCTAACTGAAGCAGAGAAGATCTGTCAGATCTTGTTGTCAGTCACTTACAATAACCCGCTGTTTCACAGTGGTCAGAATGACGTCAGCAGCCCACTTAGTGACAAATATTACCAATGAGGTGACACGATGAATAGGAATATTTACCAGTTAACTCGTATAATAACATAACTTCATTCCAAAGAATTCTTAAAGCACAAGTCAAAAAGAGAGAAGTTTCCAGTAAATGAACTCAACATTTTCAGTGAGTTGAAACTGTGATCTGAGCTGAGATCTCTTGCCGTATCAGTGAGCTATGGAGTACCACCAGGAAGTCCTGCCACTCATGTTTAATATCTCTGGAGACACTTCAACAGACTCTAGGTATCTAGCCAAGGGGACCGTACTTGACGACCCTCTTAACGCTAGTGTCACAGGAAACCACTCACACTCTGACCCATACAAGGACTTCTACGTCACTGCCAGGACGGTGACGGGACTCTACTGTTTCCCTGTATTGTGTCTTTTTGGCATCGTTGGGAACTTCATTGCACTGATTGTTTTAAATCAGAAGGAGATGAGGACGTCGACAAACGCCTACTTCTCAGCGTTAGCAGTATCAGACACGGTGAAGTTAATAAATGACGCTCTTTATTTTGTGACTATTCTTCTATATGAAAAGTCGCCCAAGGATGGCCAGAAGTTATACGGTCATCTGTATCCGTACTCTCACTACATTTTCAACATGTCAGTCTGCGTGTCTTCTTGGCTTGTTGTATCAGTGGCAACAGAGAGATATTTTCTTATTTGTCACCCGGTGCTGGCTAAAACTTTGTGCACTCGTCGACGCGCCATTATAGTTAGCTCGTGTATGTTTATAGCAATGAGCTTTATGGCTATTCCCTCTGCCTTGAGATACAAAACCGTTCACTTATTCCGCAACGACACCCAGGAGGTGGTGGACGATGTGGAGTTGACGGACCTGTGGCGGAACACGGACCTGGTGGGGACCTACACCTGGATACAAAACTTACTGCGCTCCGTGATTCCGCTTGTTATCTTACTATTCATGAACACGTGTATCCTGCGCGCAACACGAGCGCACCTGCGCAGTTTCCAGCGCCAAGGCATGCGCTTTGCCCAGGCCCAGTTACGGATCACGGCCATGTTAGTGAGTGTGATCGTGGTGTTCCTTGTCTGTATCACACCTGACGCTTTCATGTCTACTTTCTTTGGCTTCGGCTACCACGAGAGTAATAATAACTTAGTCAAGGGCGTCCGGGAGATCACAGACATGCTGTTAGCAGTCAATGCAGCAGTTAATGTGATCATTTACATGTGTTTTAATCCCCAATTTAGAACATCGTTTGTGCAGGTGTTTTGTATCGGCAGGGGGGTACCTGGCATATGTAGGACAAGGACCACGCAGAATCACAACGGAAACCGTCGGCTAGTCACAAAATACAACACCGTCGTCGAAAATGGGAATAACAATACCCATCCTAGTGATTATAACGGGACCCCTCATCAAACACAAACGCTAACGTTGCCATTAAGATCAGTGGGTCTACGCAATACGTACACTAGTGTCACGCAGTTAACAGACGCCGACTTACTACCCCTACAGTCGACCAGTTTATAGCTTTTAACAATGGCGTTTTCTTCTTTCAAATTTTCCGCGAGGTTTTGTCACTTTAACTTAACGTTGTTTTTTCCTTTTTTTTTTTTGTGTTTAATATGCGAATGAATGTTTCAAAAACGTTCATCCTTTTTAGAGAGACGAAATGTCATGAAAACAAACCACGTCTTATTGGTGGGAAAGTTATAGGGATAACAACCGTTCGTTTAAGATTCATATTTCATATAAAATACACTGTAAAAAACTCACAGAAATATAATAAATTTCATTTTACCACCAAAACAGCGGTTATCGAAATTATTCTGGAATCTGTGCTTGCCATCATACCACATGGACTTTAATGGATGGCTTTACGCCAAAATGATCTCTTCAGATTCTCTTAAGAGGTTATTACAAAAATATTCAGAAAATAAATTGGACTTACTATGAATATCGGAAGATTCATTAACCATTGGTAAGTATGTGGAAATCGTCATTTCCCCCAGGAAAATCTTTTTTTGACCAAAAAGAACGGTTGTTATCTCTCAAATTGTCTACAGAAATAATGTACTATTGTACCATCATAAAACAATGTACAATGAAGAAATGAGTTCGCCCTTTACCTATATATTGTTATGATAAAAGCAATAGAATTTTAATGAGTTTTATTGCACGTCGTTTAAGCGTTAAACATTTCATTGAATAAACATTTTCCTCTGTTAAAACTGTTCGAATAATTTCTCTCTCTCTCTCTCTCTCTCTCTCTCTCTCTCTCTCTCTCTCTCTCTCTATATATATATATATATATATATATATATATATATATATATATTATAATGTGTGTGTTTTGACAAAAACGTCTGACCGGCATATATTGAAAGGAAAATGCTACACAGAACAAAATTATCCACTTTTAGACGGAATCAGCAATATAGCTATCAAATCGACCCAGTTTTGTGAATAAAATTATAAACTGCTATCTTTGGACGGTCACTGTGGCCTTTTTCTTGAGATCGTCACTTGAGATCGTCACTGACATTCTTTGGAAACAGCCCGTCCAAAAATGAGCTATTTGTGGCACGCTGCAAATCCGTTGTTGGATATGCACAACTATTAAGTAAATAGACAGGCATCATTTTTAATTAATTTATAAAAAAGAAAGGACTAATATAATTCACTGTACATATTTACTCTACAGGCGGACAATGAGAGCTGCATGCAGGGTAAACTGCTTTCAATAAAATACATATTACGTCACACGATCACACTCACCACTGTCCACTCAACCCCAGAAACCCTGACCCCCCCCCCCCCCCCCCCCCCC